TCTTCCATTTGCCCCACCTTTTGTCTTCATGACATTTGTGACCACTCCTCCATCATGTTAGTTGCCTCCTTTGATGGAACTTGTACTTTCCCTTCCTTTACCTAAGTTTTTGTATGTTGCGCTCTTTTCCAGAATCATGTCCTGATAATGGAACTAGACATATTTGCTCTTGTCAACTATAGATCCAAAAAAAAAAAAAAAAAAAAAACTAGTACTATATGGTGAAAACTATCATTTATAATAACTTAGTAGTAGTATTGGATTTTTATTTGTGATTTAAGAATCTTTTAGTGTCTTCTCATCAATTATGTTAATCACTTTTTCATTGAATAAAACAATTATTATTATTGTTGTTGTTGTTGATGGTGGTGGTATTATATACTAGTTTATTATCATGACACTACACTCGAAATGAACATGCAAGAAGAAGAAATTACTATATATATCATATATGTACTATTCTAGTTTTTTCTAAAACTCTTTTTTTGTGAAGTGTATATTTCTTCAACAAATAACTCATTTTCTTCCCGTTCCTTGTAATCTTGCTTTATCGCTAATAAAGTGGTAAAGTCGCAACTCTCATTAGCATGAGGTTGGTTATGTTTTGACTGGAAAAAAAGGTCCCCTCTTTCGTTAACAAGATGAAACACTACGGTTTTTAGTTAGTTAGACGTTGAATCAAAGTCATAGCCGTAGAGGGTTAAAATTTACAAGAATATTTTCATGTCTAAATGCTTGCATAATGCTGAAGGAATAACTCATTAATATTGCGGTATGCAAGTTTTTCAATCAAGCTAGTAGCTGGCAATTAAGTAGGTGGGTTGGTTTTCAACAAGCTTACAGTTTTATTTTATTTTTACGATTCATGTTTGGTTGTAAAACCAAACGTATTTGGTATTAGGAACCAGCCAATAATAGGGGCCAAAGTACTTGGAAAGATTTGGTTAATCCTTATGGGGACCTTTCTTTTAAGATATTATCTCAAAAAGGTTTCATGTGCACGGTATATGTATTTGTTTTTTCTGTGATATTTTTTTGCATAATCTTGATTTTATTCCAAAATTAACAGTTGATGACTTTGTCACTGGTCTATATTGTATTAACGTTGACGTGCTTAATGAGCGATTAATTGAAAAAGACGAACAAAAGAATTTATAATGATCTCGAGAGGTTTGTCCTCTACTGAAGATACTCATGAATTTAGTGAATTATTTGATTTGATCCTTTTGCATTAGACAAAATGCAATCTCTCAACCAAACAAAAAAAAGCATATTTAATTATTATAATTATCTTAGTGTTTTGTCTATTTCCTGAAATGAAATACTGATGATAATATGATGAACATGCTTTTGTGTGAAAATGAGGTAATAATGCATGTGTTGGAGCTTCTTTTACTTCAAGTAGAGGGGCATGTCACTTTTCCTAGCTCCATTTCGAGAAGCATAGCCATAATTATTTTATTTTGCTTGTTAGAGCAGTATGTTGATTTAATTACTAGGCTGATTGTCTGCTTAGTGCTTAATATTCAGGTCAAGTGAAAACCACTAAATGTGAAGTATACCATCCATCATTTAAATACAATATCATTTTCTAAACTAATTAGTAAGGCTGAAATCTCTCAAATCAGTTATAAGAATATATTTGAATAAGTATGCTAAGAACTGTTTGTTTAAGGATAAATAGTCATTTGTTATGATTTCAAGTCAAAATTTTCTAACCTCACGTCATCTGAGTCAACTTATTCGAACAAAAAGAAAATGCAGAATTTTATGCTTAGTTATATTTATGCTTGTTTCTCAGGCATATATAAAGTTAGAACCCGAAACACTCTGAACCCATAAACAATTTAAGCTGTAATGAGTGTTAATATAACTAACATTTTCTTGGCCCCTCATCAAGAAGATATATATATATATATTATATTATATGGTTCTCATTCTTGATATGGTGGGCGTGCAGTTACAGCTAAAGAAGGTTTTGCCTCGAAAAAGAAGAGCAAACACGAGAGAAGCTAAGAAGAATTTCGACCATTGGCCAATAGAACAACCAATGGCACATCGACACATGTATACATGAAAGTGATGAATACTGTTATGGATAAAGGAATGATAGAAGAGAAACAGCTAAGGGACATTATGTTCCATTAAAATCCACAGCACATTCTATTTTAGTTAATTGTAAACTATATTCCTACTATTTCCGGCTGTTGGTTTATTACTATTTCCAGACACCCCCACATACAATACTCCTTTTTGTGGAGGTGGAACTCCATATATACCTAGTTGACATCACTCCTGTGCTCATAAAGTTGAAGTGGCCACTACTCAAGAGCTAGAAGTTTGGCCCTTAATAATCTAATTATGCTTTTTCTTTTTCCTGTGCTCATAAAGTTGATCTGACCTTTTATTTTGACGAAAATTATACATATAAATAGTGTAATATACTTCAAGTACAAGTAGAGTTCGGATGATAACTGAGAACCCAAAAGCAACACCATACCACAGTATGTGTGCATAACACTTGTGATGCCAGAAGAGATTTTCTTTAGAATTATTTCAGAAACTTTCTGCACATAAAAAAGAAAAATTACATTTGAGTATGTCTAAACTAAAATAAATATTATCTACTCGGGGCACGGTCCAAGTTAGCCTATGTAAATGTCTAGGCTAAGTATGTAGTTTAGTAACCTGTGTGGCAAAACTTCTTTTAAGGCCAAAAATGCTTTTTCTAAAATAAATTTTTTTTGAAAAAACTTTTTTCTTAACTTGAGGTGTTTGGCCAATTTTTTTGGTTTGAAAAAGTATTTTTGCGGAGAAGCAGAAAAAACTAGGCTCACCCCAGAAGCAGAAGCAGAAGCAATTGAATTTTCTTCCTACCAAAAAAACTGATAGAATTTAAGGGTCCACTAAACTATATAGAGAACCTATTAGTTCTCATAGAAACCACGCACACTGCAATAAGTAAATGACAAGAGGAATTTTACGTGGAAAATTCCCAGCTCAACGAGATTAAAAACCATGACCTACCCTTGTAGGATTTCAACTTCACTACTGAGCAACTTTAGATTACAACCTATGTAACTTAGGAATTAACCTCTTAATCCCTCACTAACTTGTAACACTCTATTACAAGCTACTTTATAATGACTCTATTACAAAGACTTTACAACTCGACTAACTCTAGCCAAGACACAAACACAAGGGTTTATGATTTACAAAGGGTTTCCTACAGTATGCTTCTAAGTAAGCTAAGTAGGAATTACAAGTAAGAGCTTTTACAAAGTTACAACTCAACCAAGGACATACAATAACTTGATATGGGGAACTGGTCCGTAGCAGTGTTGTTCTTTGTTTTTTATGCACTTGAGAATCGTTTGCTGGATGATCAATAACAGTGAGTGTGCTTGAGTGAATTTTCTAAGTGTTCAAGTAATTTATTTTACCGTCCTTGATGTTAATAATGCATTTGTGATATCACTTAGAATGATGTTAGCAAGTTAGGTAAAAGAGATTCCCCATAAAGTTGACTGCTGCACTATTTCTGTACTATAGCATGTGCAAACAACAACTTTACAATTGGGGCAGTTGACTTGTGCAGTTTCCTCGAGAACTGGTATCTATCTGTTCCCTCTGTTGTTCGTTTGACTCTGAAGAGTTGAACTGTGTCCCCAACTAGAGACTTGTTGATCTTTGAGTTCCTGAGGATGTGTATCAGGTTCCTTATCCGGTTCTTTATAGTAAGTTTGTTAGATCATCAAAACATAATAGGGATACATATATAACCTATCAATTTCCTACTTTTTGTTGATGACAAACTTATAATTCAAGTTTCCCCTAAGAACCAGCATTTCCTATTCCCCCTGAATTATTTTTCCCCCTTTGGCATCATAAAAAGATTATTAACAGGCTTTAAGCAAAAAAGAAATCTACCTTGAGTTAACTTATGCCACTTGTGTGCACACAACATGATTAAATACAGAGCATAAAAGCAAGACATATACAACAAAAAAGGGAAAAGCTTCCATTAAACAGTTTGGATTTTAAGACAGGGAGCAGATTCAATGTTGCTAACAACCATCCACAATTCAGAACAAAGAGAGAAAGAGAGTACCACAAACATCATCATAAACTAGCAAAATAAATCAACACTTAGGACTTGACACTGAGGGGACACCATCTAGGGAGCACTGGAAGGAGAGGGCTTAGAGGCAGAGGCAAGGGTTTGGAGGGCTAGATCCATTCGAGCATTCGCCAATATTTGCTCATTGAGCAATCTCTCTTTCAGGTCCTCCACCTATTTTTTGAACTCAGCATTCTCCTTGGTCAGACGGGCAACTTCTTCGCTTTGAGAGATATTGGAACTAGGTGCCTCCTGAAGCTGACTCAATTGACTCTCAAGAATAACATTCCTTGTGTAAGCACGCAATTTTTGACCCGCGCAACTTTTTGAAGTAGTATTTTTAAAATATTTACTTATTTTTATTTTTATAGGATTTAGCCTATTTTTCACTTTTTATATAATAGTAGAACATAAAATTCGAAAACACAAAAAATAGTTTCACTTTGTTTTTTACCTCATTACATATCTTTTTAAAAAATATTAGTATTTTTGGAAGTAATATTATTTTAATTTCGCGTTGATTTTAATCTAATCCTATTTTTTATTTTTGATATTTGAAAAAATACAAAAAAATAGTTTTGTTTTAACGGTTAGTTTTATTTTAATATTTTATTCTACTTAAGTAAGACTAATTAATATTTTGGTAGTATTTTTATCTTTGTTTTATTTAATAGGCAAGAGTTAATATTGGGTTGATAGATTTTTTGTTAATTAGGCCAATTTTGAGCACAAATCTGGCTACCAAAGGCTCAAATTGGAACAGCCCAGCACCGAACCCATTAGCCCACCTAATCTCAGCCATCCATTCTCTTTAATCCAATGGTCAAGGTTCTTTCCCCAAATCATATAAAATTCATAATTTTCACAAACCCCAACCCTAGAGACAAGAAAAAAATTGGCTGCACCTAATTCTTTCATTTCAAAAAATACTCAGCATATTCATCCAAACATTTTGCTGCCAATATCAACAATACCAACTTCCCATTCATTTCCCGTCCTAATTTAGCCTTTGATCTTTGCTCCCTTTCCTTTTTCAAATTTACTTTGTTTCTCTATTTCCTTGTCCGATGTTAATTATTAAATTTTTTAATTATTATGGCATAATCTCCTAAGACCCAGAAAGACACGGGAACGAGAGTGGGAATTGAAAAATGAAACAAAAAAGCAAAAGGGGGCTGGGAATGAAAATCCAAAGAGCAACGAATCTCAATGCTCCATGTCATATTTTCTGGTCCGTTTACAAAAGTAGCGTCTCCTCCCAAACTTTAATTTCCAGTTACTGCTTCATCTATAAGTGTAGCCTTATCGGACAACAGTGTGTCCTCAATTGCTGACAAATCTTTTCATTTTAAAGAGATTTCGAAAAAATGTATATACAAAGGAGATAATGTTTCTTCTCGTCAATTTCAGGCCTTTGGTTTTCAATGGAGTTCGATTGAGGCTGAGTCGTGCGAGATCCATTTGGAGCTGACGAACGCGAGTTCCGTCCAAGGTCCTATTCGCAATCTTTTTGCTTATGAGTTTCAAAGTTGTCCGAGCATTCAAATTTCAGATTTAATATTAAGGTCCATTTCTCTTCACTGATCCCATTTGATTTCAATTTGTGCTTTCTTGTTTTTAATATCTGTTTTTATTTTAATTGCTTCTTTGTGGTTGTTGCGTAAATAATTCATGATTTATAGTTGAGTGAGTGCAAATGATTTCATGTTTTCGCTGGGGATTCAACTTGTATTAGATTTGAAAGTACTACTGTGTTGGGTAAGATAAATGGACAATTGTAAAGTGATTTGTCTTGAATGATGAAATAAGCCGAAGGTTTGGGGCATAAAGTAAAAAATAAAAAATAAAAATTTGGATCTTAAATCTTCATTGCTTTTATTTATAGCTTTATTATTCGTTTACATCGTTAGGAGCATGCTTATGCCGTCATCACATGGGTAGGCAAACTTTAGGATTTTTGTTAGTTTTGAGGAGAGAGGTCGTTCCCTTAATTAAATTTATCCGGGGAATACCCCAAAAAATTTGTATATATTTTATTCCGGGGAATGCCCCGTCATATTCTGTAATTGGAGGCCGAAAGCGAACTCGTAATACCTTTATTCTTATTTATTTTTATTTTTATCTTTTTTTATTAGGTGGGAACGATCTTGAGCCTCTTATGTGTTAATTTTCTCATTTCTGTGTGTCACGGCCCTAGTTCACTAACCGTGAACATGTCATGACAGCACCTAGTCTCCGTGACCAGGTAAGCCTAACAGTTGCGGAAACATAAAAATTGTGGAAAAATAGAATACCATATTTAATTATCTAAAAAGAAAATTGTACTGAATGCCGCTCGGCATATACAACTCAATATCTCAAGACTAAAACAATCCCAAAACCCGGAAACTCACGGGAAAACATAGGCTACAGAAATGTATAGTGAAGCTCCAAACTCCAGAATATCTAACAAACGGAAGGAAAGAGAACTAAGTACTAAAGATAGAATAAAGAGGGAGACTCATCGGTCTGCGGACACAACAGATCTACCTCGAAGTCTCCGTAGTCCTCCTACCTCACTGATAGTGCGCCTGAGTAGAGGTACCTGGATCTGCACATGAAAAATATGTGCAGAAGAGGCGTGAGTACACCACAGCGGTACTCAGTAAGTGTCACGCCTAACCTCGGTTGGGTAGTGACGAGGAAGGTCAGGGCCCTACTGAGGTTATATAAAATATAAAGATGGCAGGATAAGATAAGCAGTACAATTGAGAACCTACAGTAAGAATCTATGCAGGATAATAAGAGTAAAATAACGGAAACAATGATGAAAGCCAACCATAAGGAAAGTAACCGGGGATCTCTAAGTATCCTGAGGATCTCTTAGTATCCTCGACATGTACCAGNCAGGGATCTCTTGGTATCCCGAGGATCTCTCGGTATCCTTAATATAAGCTAGGGATCTCTTGGTATCCCGAGGATCTCTCGGTAT